TAAAAAAAAAAAAAAAAACACCAAAATACTATAAGATCCAATGGCAACTGCCACTTACACGTATTACTTTTAATGTCACTTTACTTTTATAAAATTCACATGATATGGGGACCCAAACTGCAAACAGCCGACCTAATGTATCATGGCCCAATTGCTTACTATTTCAACCCCTCGTCCCACTGATTCAAAAGACAAAAAGATGCTCATGATATTACACCAAGGATGGACAGCAAAGTGAAGAAGAAAAAGGGAGCTAAACATCATGCAGGTTGCAATCATTCCTTGACAGATAAGAAAAAGTTCAATAATTTCATCTCTCTGTATGCCAATCAGCTGAGTTTTCCTCACCTGAATTGGCAATGGGATGTCATCAACAACCCATGAATCAGCAAACAAAAGCACAAATCCAAAGTTCCAATTCATTCATATCAAAGTGAAGAATGCAATTCACAACATAAACACGAAAAAAGAAGAAGAAGAAGAAGAAGATCAACCGTACCCTACATTGGTTTTCCTTTAAAAATAAAAATAGTATTTTCACAAGAGACCTGAGGCAGAGCAGAGGAGAATCTCAATTCACAAATTCTTTTTCCACAAACCAAGACCTGTGGAGCTTATTATCCAAAAATAGAAACTAAAAGTTGAATACAATCGGCAAGATTCAGATCGGTTCAAGAATGAGAGAACATGCAATGGAGAAGAATTCTTCAGAAAACTCTGTTGTGACTATTCATGATACAACTACAAAGTTAACAGGACACAAACATCTGCGGAGATCTGACAAGAGGAAGTAGAAGAAAAAGTACCATGAGACCCAAAAACATGAACTCAAACACACCAACAACATAGACCGTGTTGCTGTCCTACCTTTACCTCAGTTCTTCAAAATTTCAAAGAAGGGTTGCTGAAAGTTGAAATCTTTCTCCTAAAATTTGGAAATTGGAGAGATAGGATCCGGATTTAAAATGAATGGTATCTTCTTAAATAAGGGGTTTTCAACTTTCTCACCCCGTGTCTCTACCTGCTAGCTGTCCCGCCAGACCCCAGCCGAACCACCCCCATTCCCTTCCTAACTTGCCTCTATGATCTATCTTCCCATTTTTGTATTTTTAAGGTAGTAATTATTTTTCCCTTTTTTTTTTATGATGACGTGGTAAATCTGTAAATAAAGAGCGGAGTGATTTCTACCACGAGCTGAATTTTCAGCGGAAAAATGCATAGTGTCGGGTACCAATCATTTTCTGCCACGTAAAGCGTTGTAAGAAGTGAGTTTGATCTAGTACATTCGCGTCCACGTAGATTTTCC